AAGATAAAAGAAAATACTTGTTTCAATCCATTTTTTCTAGCCTAGTGAGAAAAAGAACCTTATGGGAAAGAACCTGTTGCTGCTTAATCCACAATAAACATTATGCTACTGAAATTCACCTCAGCAGTGGATAACAGGAAAAGCAAGAGAAGAAAGCTGAGTCACACCTGGTCATTTTCTCTCTAGAACACCAGCTATAACAATAATAAGGATTTATTTTGGGACAAGTATCATTTAGTGGGAGTGAAAAATGAAGTAAGAAATATAGAGACTGAAAACAAAGTCCAAGTCATTTAGCTTTATGACTAAAGCCTCAAAGATGTACAAACGTAATGGTGAATTCAGGTCACCATTACAGTCACAACATTCAGACCATGTTTTCTTTCAAAACTTGTGGTATTTAAAAACACTGCCAAGTAAAATCATGGATTATTATTTATCATTTTAGTATCAAGAAAAGGTGACAAAAGAGGAAAAAAATGCTCATACATCCCTTAGAATATTTTAAAATAGGGGAAGATCTCAATAGTGAAACAAAAAATAACACTTGATAAGAAACTGGAGTAATATGAGAACTGCCATCTAAAATTCCCCTGGCCCCACCCCCGGGGGGGTTGGGGAAAAAGCCACCAGCATCCTTTAGTGTAAAGAACTGGCTACTCTGTAGCAGAATTTCTTACCTAAACAATACACTGGGAAAATAGTACTGCAGTGTCCTATACAGGAGTCAATTCCTACGGCATTAGACTACAGTTCCTACGGCATTAGACTACAGTTCCTACGGCATTAGACTACAGTTCCTACTGTCCTGCTGACACAATGTCATTTGAAATTTATTTGACTAGCAACTTTTGTGTGTGAACATAGAGAAATTAAGTATTTGAAAATACGCTGCACCTCATCTTTCCCATGAACTTTTTTAAATTTTCCCATGCTCATAGAAATGAAAATACTGGTTTGCCCAACTTTTTATTCTGCATTTGTTTAGTGTAAAGCACGTCATGGGAACACTAGTTTAAAGGAATCTTTTTGCATGAAAATACTGTTATTAAAATATTTCAATCAATTGAGTAGATTTACAAAACCAAATTTACATTTATAAATACTACTATGGAATTCACTGCACTTTGAAAAATGGGCAAGAAACAGATCTCACAGAACAGAGGGCAAGAATAAGTTTGTCATCTTTCTCCTCCTGGTGTTCTCTTCTTTCTCCCTTTCCTATCACCATACATTTCAATTGGGAACATAACATTCCCTCTGCCAACTTCACCTACACAAAAGTGAAGAAGTACCTTCTGGTTTTCCTGTACTACTTATTCTAGTTTACCTGAATTACTTTTTCATTGTGGCATAATTAAAAATTTAATATCTCCATTTCAGGATACGTGTCGGGTGTTCTGGCTACTGGAATAGGAAGGCTGCTCATGCTAAATGCTCACTAAAACCAAGCGTGATTCAGAAATTATGCCACTACTGTTCATAGTCTCCCTCTACCACTGACCGGACCTACAAGAAGTTTGAAATTAGTTCAGATAAGCAGAAGTGGTCCACAAACTTTCAGCAGTTAAATTTCAATGAACATGGTGGTCATGGCATATTAATTTTTGTTTCTGTGCAGCACAGAACTAAATCAATCTTGGCACAGCTGAGTATGTAAATTCACTAAGATGCATACAGTATTTCAGTCTGGCCTGAGCAACAGATTCTGCGTGTGCTGAGCAAACATCTGTATTTCAATCTCCTTTGAAAGGAAAATTAATTCAAAACAAGATGGGCATAACCAGGCACCTTCAATAGCTCCAGAGCAGGAGTGTTCATCTTTCATATAAGACTAGTTAAAAACTCCATACAATTCAAAGGTTCAAAAACACATCTTCAAGCCCTCAGATAGTATCCTTAAAGAAGTATTTTTCTTGTTCAACTTCCACTAGTGCCAGAAACCACTATGCACCCCAGTCCTACACCCTCCCCAAACGCATAACTTCCCTTTATCAACTAAATATTAGGGCACTTCCCCCAAAAGCATACCTGTACTCTGGACTCTGCCTTTTAACAAAGGGCCCACAAACACCAAACCAAAGGTTGAGCTCTGGGATGTCTGGGGGAGATAAATGTCCTCTGAATCATTATGCTAAACTGTACTTCCCTTTCGCTCTTCCTTCCTTCATAGCAAGTTCTTTGCTGGGACACTCTGCCTGGTTTAGCAGAAATCACAGAGAACACATGCAATTCAGCCTGCATTATGGTGGTCGGGTTAACAGAGAGAATTTAATCCTCTTAGACTATGAAGGATACTTAAAACAGTAGTTACTATATTCAAAGCAGATATTGCATTCAACTTTTTTTTTTACATGGCCTTTATTCTGTCCTCCAAGAGAAGTTCCCTAAAGTCATGGATGATCATAATCTCACAGACACCAACATAATTTTTTTACCTTAAATACTACTCATAAACAGCTGTAAGAGCATGGAGCTCACTGCCCTATTTTGACTCTTTCTGAAGTTGACTGTTTCCAAGGCCCTAACAATTTCTAAGCTTGGGTATATCTATAAGCAACAATGATTCTAGCAAAGAAGATATCAGAACTTCCTGTTATGTAATTTCTGAGCACTCCTCCTCCCCTCCACAAATATCTCAGAGCACACAGCTTTCGAGAACATCAGCAGAAAGAAAATGATTTTTCTTATCAGAGCAGTCAAACTGCAGACAACCCTAAATTGCTTTAGTGAAACTGGTGACATTAATCTCATCTATTTGTGCAGGGAGATCAAAATGGAAGATAGGATAATACTGACTTAAACCACTGCTAAAAAGAATTGTAGATATATTCTTTCAGTACCTGTGATATAAACCTACAGTGTACTTAACTAAATTCAAAAAGGTATAAACCAAGCAAAAAAGAGTTTTTCAAGGTAAACTACACATCTACATATTACCCTGCACTATTCTGCACTGGTTTAACTTGCAGCCCATTTAACTCAGGAATGCAATGCAGCATGTTAGTAGGTGCACACCGAGCAGCCCAACCTCAGATCTCAGATGCACTACAGAGACATTAGTCTCTGTAGTGCATCTCATAAACTCAGCCACTCAGAGGCAGGTACAAATGTGTTCAGTTTCAGTATCACTTTGAGGCTGCAATACTGCTTCCTGGTCAGGAGTGAGATCCTGTCCCTGTCACAGCCTTCTACTGAGATGCACAGGCATGTCATAAATTCATTTTTAAACCAACTTACAGTAAGACAGATCAGTTTCTTTGACAAGGTGAGGCCTTATGTATTTATTTGTGTACATTTTTATACCCTTCCAGTTTTGCATTTTGTCTTCCTTCTCCCTGCAAAACCACCAATGTCACAGTTCAAAAGAGATGCAAAGAATGGTCATCTTCTCAGACAGAGCTATTTGAGAAAAGAAGAAAAAACAATCAAGCTGGAGAAGACAGAAAGGGGAGACTGAGTATTCTGTCAGTGTCCTGACAGGCAGCTATTGCTCCTTTCACATTTTATTCTCTTCTCTCTTTCTTCATATCAAGCAGTCTGGTATAAAGTTTCTCTTTATACCATGTGGAATCACAACTTTCTGCTTCCTTCCTTAACCTTGAAGAAACACCTTAAAGAACACTCTAAAAAAGGTGCATTGTTTCCACATTTCTTCACTGGCCTCAGGAATATTTCCATGACTACTATGCTTTCTTTAAAAATTACTATTTTTCTGCAATCCGTGTTTCACTTAAAGTCTTAATCATCTGTGATGACAGTTGTATCAACAGCAACTGGTCATGATGTAACGAACGAGATCAACCACTTCTGGAGAAAAAACATATCACAGAGCTTTCAAGAAGTCTCTTAATAATCTCAAATAACTTCTCAATAAAATGCCCGTCCATGTTTCAAAGAGGAAAAATATATCAAAAAACAACACACTTGAAGAAAAAATAACATGTTCTTCATCGATAACTACACTCTTGGGCCTTTCCAACTCCATTATTCAAGACCTATTAAAACCATCAACTTCACTAAGAAAGGGTTTGTATCACACGTTTTTGGCTAAAGAGAGCTTATGGGAAGTTCAGATTTACAGCACTTTCTGAAATAAATCTACCCAAAATAATTTCACAGTCCTATAAAGAAAAAAGTCAACAAAACTTCCCTGTGGTTGAGCATTCAAGCTTTCAAACCAGGTGCAAAAACGCCTGTAACTACACGAATGTACATTCAAATGCAACGCACAGATATATGAACACAATGAACATCATCACTGACGTCTGAAATGCCAATTTATTACACACACGCATTTACTCCACAATGCCACTGACTACATGTAGTTTTCAATAAGTGTGGTACATGTCAGATGCGACCTTACCTTCTACCAAAATTCTACACACGCAAAGCATCTTTGCATCAATATTCCAGGCAACAGCGTGTTGGGTGTTTGACATACACTCAGCCGTATTCAGTTAACCTGTTTGATCTCTTCACTGGCCCGACAACTACATTTAAATGATGAATTTTTTATCATGATGCAGGTAAATGAAGTTAAACCAGATAAACCAGGTTTTACACCAAAAGGTCTTTCCGCTTCAGCAGTGGCTGCCCCCGCCTTAGACAGGCCAAACCCGGCTACAGGCTCGCTGTGCTGCAGATCAAAGCCGCGATCCCGGAATCGAAGGCACCGGCACAGCACCTGGAGCAGACAATGCCAAGAGCCTCCCGCAGACCCGCAGCGCGGCTCCCGATCTGCGCGGAGGCTTCGGCGCGTCCCCCTCGGCCGCCCACAGCCACCGCAGGCACCCGAGCTGCCCGACACCGGCCGGCGGGGGGCGGGCGGCAGAGAAGGGCACGGACCGGGGAGTGGGGCACACAGGGGAAAAACAAAAAAGCCTAAAAAGAGGCGCTGGGAAAGGAGGCAGCCGGCTGTTGGGGCACCTCCTCCCGCCGGGCACGGCCGCAAGCAGGCACCTCAGCAGCTCCTTTGTTCCACCCCTTCCCCTACTCACCCACGGTGGCCAGGGTCTCCAGGTCCTCCAGCTTGTAAGCGGCGGGCTCGAGCGCGGCGGGCGAGCCGGGACCGGCGGGGCTGGGGGCCGGCGCAGCGGGCGGAGGCGCGGCCACCCCCGCCGCCGCCGCCGCCTCGCCGCCGCTCTTCGCCCCCATTTTGGCCTTGGCGGCGCTGAAGGCGTCCATGGGGCCGGGCGGGCGCCCCGCGGCCGCTCAGCGCATGGAGGAGGGCGAAAGGAAGGGGGAGGAGAGGGAGCGGCGGACACGCAAAGTTTCTGTCTTCAGCAGAAGGGGTGGCTGCTCCCGGGGGCTGGAGCCCGCTGCCGCCTCTGAGGGAGCACGGAGCCCTTCAGCATCGCGGTCGCAGCCGCCGCGCCGCCCGCCGGTGCCCGCAGCAGGGACCGCCGCGCAGACAATGGCGAGGGTGCGCCCAGCTGTGCCGCGCCGCGCTGTGCCGAGCCCAGCCGAGCCGCGCCACACGCGGGGCGGGGGGGCGGGGTTTGCCGCTGCCGCTCCGTCCCGCTGAGGGCTGGCGGAGCGGGGAGGGGCCGGGGCGAAGCGCGGCCACGGCGCACAGCGGGAGAGCGGTGATCGCCCCTCGCCGCGGGCGCGGCCCGCGGATAGGTGGCAGCGGCGGTGCTCTCCGCTCGTCCTTCCACACCCCTGCGTCCCGCCCGAGGGGCGGCGCGGCAGTGCTGCGAGGGAAGGGGGTGGAGGGGAGCGTCCCTCGGCGCTCCCTCACTGCTCCCAGGCGAGGGGGAGGATCCCGTCCGCTTCCCGCAGAAAGTTAAAAGTGAACGATGGGGCCCCTACGAAGCGGCCTCTGGGCCCACCCGGCTGCACAGTAACACCTCTGGGAAGGGCCGGTCGTTCCCCACGCGTGGGAGCTGAGTAACGCGGCTGTTCGGGTGTCAGCGAGTGTCCCTCACCCGCACGTCTTCTAATAGGGCTTCTCACGCCTTGTTTAACTCCCCGTTTTCTCGCAGGTGTGGATACTGCACTGACCGCAGCCCATCCCCGCCCCCTGCCCCATCCTGCGGGATGTCTGTGTGGCTGGGGATGGCTGGCGGGTGTGCTGAGCTGCTCGGCTGAGCCGAGGAGGCGCCCATCGCATGTAGCAGCAGCAGCCGAGTACCGAATATAGCTCCTTCCTCAGCGGCCAAGAAGCTGTTGACGATTACGCTGGAAGACAGGGAAAATTGGTGTGTGAGCCAAGTCACTGCGAAGCGTAGGTGTCAAAATTGGGAAGGAAATCCTGATTTTTTCCACGCCTTATTCTCAGTTTTACCCCGTTCACAACTCCCACCCTATGCTCCAGTAAGCAGGATATCTGCATAGCTGATGTGTAAATCAAGTCAAACGGCTGGCTTTTGGCATCTCCTTTTTATTAAATGTGGCAACATGGGAATATAAGGCCTAGTAGTTTCTATGTGGAGGAGGTTCAATAATAATGGGAAATAATTGTGTGTATGCAAAAAATGAATACAAATATATGTTATTTTTAAGAATTACAAATTTATGTACATCTGTCTTGAATTTTAAGACATCCTTACAGTGTCATTTGTAGTCATGATACTCAGAGGATATAACATGCATTTTTATCTTTTAGCTTGTTTACACGAAGGGTTATGAGTAATTCGGAAAAACGTTAGGTCATCTCTGTTTCCTGTCAGCCTGTGAAGAGTCACCAGTCAAGGAGGATGACATCACTTTTGCTACAGAATTTCAAATTTCATTTGTGAACTCTCTGGAATGCAAGTTTTGCACTTCTATTTTGCTTTACTACTTCACTTAATTTCTTTTTGTGCTTCTTTACTGTGAGGGTGACTAAACACTGGAACAGATTACTCAGGGAGGTTGTGGAGCCTCCCTCACTGGAGATATTCAAGAACCACCTGTATGCAATTCTGTGCGATGTGCATTAGGATGACCCTACTAAAGCAGGGAGGCTGGACCAGATGACCTACTGTGGTCCTTTCCAACCTGTGATTCCATTCTGTGACTGTGTTTTGTACATTGTATGCGAGAACTACCGTGATTCAGGCCTTGAATGGAGTATTTTAAAGATTCCTTAAATGGGAACTGTAAATGTTCTGTTAAGCTATAAATTTAATTCCTGTTTGGTCAAAAGATGAGCAAGCCAACAAAGCTCTCTTAACAATAACAGAAAATTTGTTTAAGATAACAATTTGAAAAATAAACATTTATACATTGAAGAAATCTCACTGTATATAAAAATGTAACTTTGGTTTTTTTTGCCAAATAGTTGCAAATTGAGAAAAAAATGTATAAGCTGATTGCGATCATTATTTCCAAGAGAAAGTACCTTAACTTCGGTCTATCCAAGAAAATTGATATTTGATCTTCCTGAAACATTTTTTTAAATTAAAAACTAAGAAATCATTCACTGCTCAGATGTTAAAAAGGACATAAAGTACTTTACAGAAGGTAAATTACTTTCAACTCATATTTCCATTTATGCTACAAACTTTACTTGATGATTAAATTACTTCCATTCAGGAACTTAAAACTTTCTTTTTTTAAAGAGCCTCCTACTGCCATGCTTCAACAGTTGGTGGCCTGTACAACAACACATATTCAAAAATACTGTGATTCAGCAAGGTTGCTAAGCACAGGATTAGTTCCATTTGATGCAGTGTTTTAAGATTAAAATTAGCTTACTTCCTTGGCATCCAAAGCATTCGCTAGTTGTAGCAATATAATTGCAATGTTTATATTTAGAATGTCAACATGCTATTAGTGTGCTTTGCCACCTCTGTATAACCTACTTAGAATTTATCTTGCAGATACTGATTATAATTCACAGTACTTCAGGGAAAGAAAATACCATTCTTTCTACATACAGCAAGATTGAGAATCAAAACTCCTAACTTCAGAAATTGCAAGTAGAGATGACCACTGGGTTGCAATGGTGGATATGAAACATAGTTTCTTGCCCAATTTGGACATAATTCATAAGCAAGTCTGCAGCCCTGTGCTCCTTTTTTTCTTTCAATTTTTCCACTATTCTAACTTAAAATGTGAACTTTTGGTCACAGGTACTTTTTGAATAATCTTAGCCTTTCCCTTGCTCTTGGTAATTCATAGTTCTCAATTTTTTCACTTTTTCCGCACATGCATTAGGTACCTACAGCTAGGTTCCTGTATCTTAGAGGTTACTGCCTTATGTTTCCATTCCTTTCCCTTACAGGTGCTTACACCAAAGGTTAGCTCTATTTTCATTTTCCCTCAAAAGTATCAGATGTTACAGATGATCCTTTCCAAAGACAGTAAATGCCTTTCTAAATAAAAAACAAAAATCCAGAGAACAGTAGTTTAAATTGTTTTCTCAGTAGTCATGACTTTAGATGAGGGTTTATTCTTCCATTTCATCTGCAAAAAATATTCAGTGTACTTATATTCCTTTATAAGCTCAGATTTTTGAGGATCCAAAAGGGTCCCAGGTGTCAATTTGGTTACTTCCTGCTGCCTTTTATGTATGTAGGTTTGCCAAACTTCAGCATGTGTAGCCACACCAATAGTTCAATGATTATTTGGGTCCTAAATTGCTAACCTTCCTCCCATTCCTTCCTTTTTGTTTGTTTGTTGTTTTTTTATTTCCTCTCAAGAAACCTTTAGTAAACTAATGGAAAGGATTACAAACATTTTACCTTTCAATGAATTGGTATAACAGATCATTTCTCTGTAATTTTGAGGGGACACTGTGGTACACATACCGTGCAAATGGAAAAGCACCCAACTCTCTGGGAAAGGAATCAGTCATTTAAATGTCTCCATGACTGCAGACAAAAGAGTCTTTCCTGTGGTCTGAGCAGGTTTGCGTTTGTCTACCTGAAAGCCTACTTCTTTCTGCCCTGCAAATATATGATTTTCCTTACAAATCTTGTTAAAGCCTATCTTTACCATCACTGTAATAGTAAAACTACTGCAACAAGTTTGCTACAGAACCTGTTAAGACCTGTAGGGAGGAAATGGAGAAGTCCTTCAATGGTGGTTGTTACTAATGAATAGGTCTGTATCATCTCCTTTAGTCACATTACTTATAGTGCCTAAAAACGTGGGACTGCACTGAGAAGGAAGAATAACTAGTACAGATAATTAGTACTGGTATATGTTTTTCATCTTCTGTTTTGTTTTGCTAAAGAAGCTCATGATCAGGCAAGCCCTATGAAGTAAACCAGCACCCTTTCGTGCAAGAAATCCTGGCCTGTGACAAAGGAAGGGGGAAATTGTTCCACCCATCTGAAGCAATTCCTTCATATTATGGAAATAAAACCATTTGTTTAATGAACAATCACACATCATGTGAATATATCTACACATTTATATAGCAACTATCACACTTTTATTTGAATATGAGTATGTTTAACATTTTTTTTTTAAAGCATTTAAATTTTGATGAGTATAGTGGCTGAATCCAAATAAGAATTTTAACACCAAGAATATAACGTAGTTGCCTACATCCAAAACTGTGATTCTGTTGAGTCTTACTGAGTTGACGCCTCGCTTCGGAAATGCATCGACGTAGCCAGTTCAAACATTGAAATGCTGTTACTAGGGTGTCTAGACTTCTGCTCAGTCTGAGCAAGTTTGTGTCTAGCTTCTGCCAAAACTAGATTGTGATCTGGAAATAAGATGTTACTTTGCCTACTTTTGCTGAGGAACTTGTTCTGTTAAGCATTCTGAAAGTATATCTCACATATATGCAAAACTTCTCCCCTCACAAAAGTAAGTCATGGACAACTTTTCAGAAAAAAATATGTTAGAGGAATGCTGTGTTATCCAATAGGAGACCCTGAAACAACACTGTGCTGGATAAGCTTTTTGAAGGCAGATAGTGATATTTTCTTCAGTTCAAAGATAGAATAAAGTGGCAGTGCACTAGGACATATTTTTGTTCATTCTTTTCTCCAAACTACTAGTTATGTATATTGACACTAACACATCCCATTTTGAATATCAAGATAGCATGCAGGTTAGAGCAGTCACCCAGCCAATGGGATATCCAGAATTTTTGATCTTGATTGTATGGAAGGAATTCTCATTCTAGCCTCCCTTCTTTAAATTACTGAAGGCAGTTGCAGGACATATTCTCCCATGCTGTGCATTCTTACTTCACAAATGCTCCATTTTTACTGTACCCAGAAAATGAAGTGTTTGCTACGTTGCTCTCTAGAATGCTGCAAAAGTTGTATAAATTAAATAATAGTATGAGTCATACTACATAAAAGTTATGGTATGCAACTATAGTGTGTTTTTACAACTTTTACAAATTTTACCATGCTTCTGCAAAGAGTAGTGTAAAATAATGAATTCCACAAATTATTAAATTAATTTGAATTTTATCAATTTTTTTGGTAGCAAGACACACCTTATTTGAACTT